CATTAAATTTGTAGATTTTCCTTGTATCAGTCTTTCCTATTTTCTTCATTGTTTCCTTGTATCAGTCTTTTCCGAATTTCCCACTGCCTTCATAATTCTTTGCCTGAGAATCTAGAATACCATTAAAATATCTAAGCCTAATAAAAACCCTATTAATCCTAATGGCAGTTATTTCAAACGGTGGGAATGGGTCCAAATCATCTCTAACAGATAAAATATTAAAAACAAATAAGCCATGGCAATCCGTGTTAATATTTTCTTCTTTGGTCGGTGTCACGGCATTCTGTTTCCTGTTGAAAATACCTCAAAAATAGAAGAGAAAATAATGATTAAGACAAATAAGATAGGCAAATATGAAGAAAGCATATTACAAAAAGCTTTTTTATTAAATATTCAATATCAGCAATGAACATAATACTTCGTGCATTACTGTATCAGTATTAATATAATCAAAAAAATATTATATCGAACTAAAATCAAAATGAACGAGTAAGCCTGACTAATCAAACACTTGTAACATACTTACCGAAATTTCAGATTTGTCTCTGATTCCGTCTTTTTTCAATTTCTTCTGTGTCTTCAAAAATTTTTGCCTGTGAAGCTGAGATAACATTAACAATATCTAAGCCTAATAAAATTCGTAAGAATATTTACATTCAATTTGTAGATTTTCCTTGTATCAGTCTTTCCTATTTTCTTCATTGTTTCCTTGTATCAGTCTCTTCCGAATTTCCCCACTGCCTTCATAATTCTTTGCCTGAGAATCTAGAATACTATTAATATATCTAAGCCTAATAAAAACCCTATTAATCCTAATGGCAGTTATTTCAAACGGTGGGAATGGGTCCAAATCAATCTCTAACAGATAAAATATTAAAAACAAATAAGCCATGGCAATCCGTGTTAATATTTTTCTTCTTTGGTCGGTGTCACGGCATTCTGTTTCCTGTTGAAAATACCTCAAAAATAGAAGAGAAAATAATGATTAAGACAAATAAGATAGGCAAATATCAAGAAAGCAAATTACTAAAAAATCTTTTTTATTAAATATTCAATATCAGCAATGAACATAATACTTCGTGCATTACTGTATTAGTATTAATATAATCAAAAAATATTATATCGAACTAAAATCAAAATGAACGAGTAAGCCTGACTAATCAAACACTTGTAACATACTTACCGAAATTTCAGATTTGTCTCTGATTCCGTCTTTTTTCAATTTCTTCTGTGTCTTCAAAAATTTTTGCCTGTGAAGCTGAGATAACATTAACAATATCTAAGCCTAATAAAATTCGTAAGAATATTTACATTCAATTTGTAGATTTTCCTTGTATCAGTCTTTTCCTATTTTCTTCATTGTTTCATTGTATCAGTCTTTTTCTAATTTCTCCATTGCCTTCATAATTCTTTGCCTGAAAATCTAGAATACCATTAAAAATATCTAAGCCTAAGAAAAACCCTATTAATCCTAATGGCGGGCATTTCTAACGGTGGGAATGGGTCTAAATCTATCTCTAACAAAAGAAAATATTAAAAACAAAAATGCCATGACAATCCCTGTTAATACGTTTCTTCTTTGGTCGGTGTCACCACATTCTGTTTCCTGTTGAAAATACCTCACAAATAGAAGAGATAATGATTAAGACAAATAAGATAGGCAAATATGAATAGAGCATATTACTAAAAAAAATCGAAATGAACGCTAGATAGGAGTAAGCCTAACTAATGAAACACTTGTAACATACTTACCGGAATTTCAGATTTGTCTCTGATTCCGTCTTTTTTAAATTTCTCCAGTGCCTTCAAAATTCTGAGCCTGAGAAGCTAAGATAATATTAACAATATCTAAGCCTAATAAAATTTGTAAAAATATTTACATGTAATTTGTAGATTTTCCTTGCATCCGTCTTTTCCTAATTTTCCCAGTCCCTTCATAGTTCTGTTCCTGAGAAGCTAGAATAATATTAAATATATCTAAGCCTAATAAAAACCCTATCATTCCTAATGGCGGGAATGGGTCTAAATCTATCTATACCAAATAAAATATTAAAAACAAAAAAGCCATGGCAAGACTGTTAATAGTTTTCTTCCTTTGTCGTTGTCACGATATCTTGTTTTCCTGTTGAAAATATCTCCGAAAATACAATAGAAAATAATGAATATGACAAATAAGATAGCTAAATATGGAAACAGCATATTACAAAAAAAGCTTATTAAAAAATATACAATATCAGTAATAAACGACAATATAATTAATAAAGCAGTAATATACAATAACAGTAATAAAAATATAAGAATAACGTAAAACGAAAGAATCATTTTAAACTTATCATACCAGGACATCAAATACAGGATTGCAGTGCAGGTTATTAGAATACAAATAACAATTGTATTTAGTTTTCTGAGCTATGATTCAATTCATTAATAAATATACAATCGAAAATCTTTTTGCAATTATTCAAATTACATAAATAGTTAGTTCCTCACGGGTCGACCCATGTTAAACTTCCGCATATAATCCTTTTACAGTGTGCATGACATTTTGGTATAGTTTTAAACAACAGTCTTATTTGATATAAAAGACATGTGTATGTGCTGCCCAATGCATTTGTTTGCGATCACATATTAGTAATCAGTGCACATACATACGAGCTTAAAGTACGTATGGCAATGAAATACAGTCTCAAACAACTGTCTATTTTTCTATATCAAAGTCTTGTGTGTGGACTCGATGCATTTGTTGGCTAGCACATCTCAGTTATCTTTAATAAAACTCTTCTTCATATTCAAATAATTAAGTTGTATTTTCTTTTGAAAAACAGAAAGATTCGTCATGTTCCATAATTGAAGAATCCTGTAAAAATATATATACATTTAGTTATTATGCACTTTTATAGTAGAGGAAGTAAATTATGAGCAACTTATTTCGTATGATGAGGCTCTACAAGACGCCTATAACGTGTTGGGCGGCGACGCTGCGCGACATCAACTCCCTTAAGCCTTATAACCTGCCAGTTTTCTAGTTATTAACAACTCCACATCTTTGAATATGATTGAAGTCTATTACTGGCAATGAAATATCCAGTCTACATGAACAAAGTACGAGAAACGAATAATATGTGATGAAAAACGTCAAATAGTGTGCTGATAAAAATGATTATTGTAGAGGTCGAAACGCATAATGTAGAAGCCAAAACTATTAACCCTACTTTTCATATATGCCAATATATTGGGACATCTGTCATACTTGGCCATAATGTATTGGGTTGCTAAAGTTTACGACCAACCTAAGTATGTCGACAACATACTTAATTCCAAAAGATGCAAACAATAACAACATTAATTTATGTAATATGAATAAACCCTATCATTTAACCAAAATATAAAATAAGCAAACAATCCGATTATTACAGCAATTAAATTAACACTACTTGAACGACAAACTTCTAATGCAAATTAACTTTTAAATAGTCGACTTGCAATGATCCGAAATAACTATAAACAAACAAGAATATGAGGAGACAAGACCGATACAAGATTTTGTTGAAGTCAATATGCCTCTTTTCTTCCCACGAACAGAAGATGAAATTGCCTTAAAAGAGAAGTCTATGAGCGGTCATTCATCGAAAGTACAATGCCCGATAACTTTCGAAATAACCCCGGGTCAAATATATATACGGAAGAAAACAATTAAACTTTGTCTGTTGCTGAGGAAATAAATCTTAGTAGTAGTATGTGTAACATACTATTACATGCTTGAGATGGAATATAAAAGATGCTATTTGATATCATACGAGTTTTTCAGGTTTGCAGTAAAAGAGTACATTGTTTTACAACATATATTTGATACAATAACGCATGAAGTGTATATCTATTTTAAACATTCCATTAACGTCCATTACATTATACTAGAGATTCCAACTAAGAGATGTACCGATACCTTTGTCGCCGATACCAATTCGACAACAACGATAAAACGACGATATTAATATTTTAAAGCAGAAATTGCCGACATTTACATGCTATGTAATTATTATCTTAGGTGTGCAGTCCAAACAAAAAGTAACAGATTCCAAGCATTATTAATGCCACACAATTTTTCATATTTGAAAAAGCCATATTTCAGATGAAACGAAATTTATGTTTTGGATCCTGATACGTTTTTTGATTTAAATACATTGCACACTGATGTTAATTACATCGGTGTTCGGTTAGAAAACTCATCGGGGTTGGCTACTGTAGGTGGTAAAATAAATAAATGTTCACTCAATCTATCCAACTCATAAATCGAGTTGTGTGCGCAGAATTTTATGCCATGCCAACATTGTATTTTGTATTTTGCACATCGAAAAATTCACATTCGATATATTTCGTCATAATTTCCATGTAATGTTAAAATTGTCAATATAAAAAATAGGTTGCAAAAATAGCCAAATTAGTTGAGCTAGTTGGGCTGATAAATGGCTAAAATCAGTTCATAATCATATTCCCGTTTCTATTCGCGCGGTTGGGAAACATCATTGCTCCTACCTAACGAGGCTAATACCGCGAACACGATCACTCCAAGCAAAAAATAATTTTTATATCAGTATTTCAACCTTCAATTTTTTAAAACACATTCAGGAATAGATTAAAAGTTAATTATTTTGAAAATATCAGTCTACATTTAGCCGATATCGATACGAATACCGATACCAAAATATTGCCGATATTACCGATACCCGATATCTTTTACCGAAAGCCTTTTATATTAGTTTTGACCAGTACTGACTGCGTGTATAACGACATTGATGTTTGTTTTAAGCAGAAGGTAAAACACTCATTTCAAGCATTCCAAACCGAAACTGAAATAAATGAAAAGTCAATATACCGCAATTAATGATAAAATAAAACTAGTAAATAATACACGATAGTAATATGAACATTTGTTAAAAAATCACTATTCAAGGCAACAATATTATTGCAAAATGAACATATCATATTGGGTTAGTTCAGCGATTCCCAAACTGTGGTACGCGTACCACCTGTGGTACGCGAGAGTCTTTCAGGTGGTACGCGACCAACTTTCAATAATTTGCAATGTTGCGTTTCAATTACCTTTAATTTGTGGTTTCGCACGTTTATGAAGCAACACTTATTTTGTTCAAGATGATCAAACGCCAATTACCAACTTTCATGACCTTTGACCGATGCTGTCAGCAAAATATTTGGCGGGAACGCTCTCCTTACCGGCCGTCTCAGACTACGTACGGTTGCTATTCGTACTTGCTTTCAAAAGCCTGCGGTGTGTGAATATTGCGAAATTTTGTTTAATTCAACTATTGACAACATGTCTAAACGAAATTACAGTCCAGCTTACATAAAGTACGGACTCATAGCTATTGAACACAACGGAGAAGTTTTGCCGCAATGTGTAGTGTGCATGAAAACGCTTGCTAATTCGGCTATGAAACCAAGCTTACTCCAACGACATCTTGACACAAATCATCCGACAAGAAGGATCGAAATGAGAGTTTCTTTCAGCGACTGGGCGAGCAAGTGAAACGACAGCGCTTCGACAACACTGGCACAATTTATCAGAGAAAGAAGTGTGCTGTCAAGGCATCCTATGAAGTCGCTCTCCTGATAGCAAAAAATCAGAAAGCACATACCATTGGAGAGCGCCTCATTATGCCAGCTGCAAAGATGTTAGTAAAAATGTACTTGGTGAAGAGGCGGCTGCAAAGCTAGTAAGTGTTCCCCTCTCCAACAATACGGTTAAGAATAGAATAGATGTCAGTCGATATTGCTGAGCAAGTGATTTCAGGAGTGAAAGATTCAGAGTATGGTTTTTCCATTCAATTGGACGAGTCGACGGACGTAACAAATAACGCACAGTTACTTGTGTATGTTCGTTATACACAAGAAAAGGCTGTAAAAACTGAATTACTTATGAGCAAAGAACTTTCAGGTACAACAAAGGGAAAGGATATTTTCGAAGCATTAGACAGTTTTTTCAAAGTGAATAAACTGGACTGGGGAAAGTTGATTGGCTGTACAACAGATGGAGCTCCATCAATGCTAGGACATAAATCAGGCTTCAGAGCTCATGTGACGGCTGTGGCGCAAAACGTGACTTTTGTTCATTGTTTTATTCATAGATTCGCCCTATGCGCGAAAGTGCTACCTCAGAACATGTTATCATGCTTGAACCGAGTTATCAAACTAGTAAATTTCGTCAAAACATCTGCTCTGAATACTCGGTTGTTTAAACTTCTTTGTGAGGATCTCGGTTCTAACCACAGCTGTCTCCTCTTCTATACGGAGGTGCGCTGGCTCTCTCGTGGTAATGCAACAAGGCGCCTGTTTGAACTGCGACATGAGCTTCTGCAATTCTTCAAGGAGAAGAATCACGATTTTCAAAACGACCTGGAGAGCAAAGATTTTCTTACTAGATTGGCATATCTATCAGACATTTTTGAAGTTCTGAACAACTTTAACCTGTCGTTTCAAGGACCCAATCTAACTGTAACAGATTTCATTTCAGAGCTTAGAGCACTCATTCGTAAGCTGGACCTCTGGACATGGAATGTTAGCAATCAAAACTACGGAATGTTCAAATGCCTCACTTCTGTTGAGAAAAATCCTGATGGTGGCATTTCTAAAGAAATTATTGATCATCTTTCGCAACTAAAGACGGAGCGATTGAATTACTTTCCTGATGTTGCATACTGTGCTTACTCCGTCAACCCATTTTTCATTGATCCGGTTGATGTGCCTGTAGGGACCGGGGAACAAGAAGAACTAATAGACATTCAAACTGATGAGGCAGCAAAAATAAAACATAAGGAATGTTGTCCAATCAATTTCTGGTTGAGCATGGCATCATCGTATTCTAACCTAGTACGTTACGCTGTTTCCCAGCTATTGATTTTTCCATCTACGTGGGAGTGCGAACAAGGGTTTTCGGCTTTGATGGCCATCAAATCGAAAAGCCGAAATCGTCTTGGAACGCCAGAACATGACTTTCGATACGTTGTCAGCAAAGCTCTTCCTCGCATTGACCAGCTGGTGGAGAAAAAACAACTACATCCATCTCATTAAAATTTTTAATTGGCTTTATTTTGTTTAATTTATGGTTTTTATCTCTTTCTGGAATGACATTTGTCAAATCTTAATGCTGCTACATGCTCAGTTTTCTTATCTACAGGTGCATAGTTTATGGTTTGAGATATTCTAGTCAAGTGTAACTTAGGTGGTACGCGAACGCTGCACAAAATTAAAAATGGTACGCGGGAATGAAAAGTTTGGGAACCACTGGGTTAGTTAGGCTGTCCTCAGTTAATATTTGGACGTGTAGTAAAAAACAAGTAGAACAAGTAGAAATTGCGTGTAAAAATTCACACTATAATATTATGTTCTTTTTTAAACCAAGAGCAAAAAACTGTAAGTCAAAAACTATCATAAAGTCTTGACAACAAAAAAAATGAAAAAGTATGAAACGCAAAGAACTACAGAAACAAATGTTCGTAGAAGTATGTAATGGACAGACATTTTTCTTCTATACAGGTATCCCATATTTTCCTCTTTATATTGTTAACGGCGTTCTATATTTTGTACTAAACCCAAAGAGAGTTTATTTGATTTGGGAGATTTGTTTTATTAAATACTTATAGTCACGTTAACATATTTTAGAATATGATTTTAAAACAATCGCACTACAAATCGGAGTTTTAGGATGTACCTACATGAAAGATTTTTATTTTTTTAATCTCAAACTGATATGATTTGGCACAATTACATCCAACACGCGCCTTCAGTTAACAGTTAGTTGGACGTGTTTTATTCTAAAATATTCTAACACTCTCCAACATTAAAATTAGAAGCAAGTAAAGTAGTATTTTTTACTACATTGGATACCCGACAGCCAGAGGAGGACAAAGGAGTCGGAACAACAACCGTTGGAATATTGAGCGCACAAACCGAGGATAAACAGATCGAGCAATAATCAAACACATCAATTTAATCACAATCAAAAACTATATGAAATATTTTGTACAGAGACAAAACAAAATGTGAAAGGAAAAACTAGCCTTGACAAAATGAAAAATTTGAAATGTTAGGAACTCCGGAAAAACGGCCGGCGAATGAACCCGAACGACTTTCGCGATTATTGCTGCATATTATTGTATTTTATTAAAAACATACGATTGGGCGAGGGATTAATAAATATGACCTGGCATGCGTGCAGTAACTAAGATTTATCTAGCTTGTCAGCTTGCTTAAAACTTGTTAACTTTTCGTTCAAAAATAAACCA